CCTACAAGTGGCCTTACTAATTCACATTAAACTCAACGGATATTTCATAACTGCTTCAATATGTCATTATGAGTTATGCTACAAGTGATCTTGAGGGACTAAAAAATATTAACTTTAAATTTGAAGGACAAAAACAAAAGATTATCCTAAATTTGAGGGCGGATGATAATAAGGTTTGGGTTGAATTGAATTGAAAAGAGTAATGAGTACCTTGCGAGCAAGATAGCCATCAAGCCAATCTGTGAGTGATGCAGCGACGAAAATAGTTGTAGTGGCAGCAGTTCCACGCCAACCGTCCATGTAGAAAGCTACACATAAACATGATATTATAACGCAAGTGTGGCGATACAAATATACAAAAAAGTGGAAATAGAAAAGGAAACATACTAGCTACGAGAAGTGGCACAGCGGCGACACGGCCTAGTGTCAAAATTGTTGGCAACGTAAGCAATTTGGAAGGTTCAGGTTCAGGTTCAGGTTCTGGGGGGTGGGGCTGAGGTTGGACGTGTGGCTGTGGTGAACCCAAATCAGTGGCAAGACCAGCCCTTCCCAAACATGCGACTTTGTTTCTGAGTGTGAACCCTAGGATTTGGTTTTTGGGAAGGGGAGGCATGTACCTGCGGGAGTGTAGGGGTGAGGCTCTGTTGGGTGTCCATAGGAGGGGTTTGGGCTTGGGCTTGGGCTTGGTGGCTGTGCGGGCGCAGATGAAAGCAGTGGTGCCCAGTTTCAAGGCCGACATGATGAACCACCTTCTTCTTTCAACAATTCTTGGATCACACAGCCACGCCGTTTCTACTTCCTCTTTGCTCCCAACCGTCACGCCATTTTTATCGTTATTTAGTAATCACAAATAATATTTCTCCAACTAAGACATATATTTATTTCGATGGTTATTACTAACTCTTATAAAATTTCTTAATTTACTAATATTAAAAAATTAGTTAATACATTTCATAACAATAAATTTATTATATTTATATATTTTTTTTCTAAAACTGATTTTATACTATTCTTTCTAAATGTATATATGAATAAACATTTAAAAATTTTATATTTAAATATAAATAAATTTTAATCAAGCTAATCTTATTTAATATTCTTAATTTAAAAATATTATATAATAATAAATAAAAACATTATCTATCATGTAGTTAGAATCATTTTAAAAAATGTAATATATATTTTATGTGAAAGTTTAAAATTTAAATATATTTAATATTTTTAAATTTATGTAAAATTAGTTATTTTTACTTATATATAAATTCAAATGAATTATTTATTTTTCGTGATTAATATCTGTATATTTTTTTTGACTA